AGCCTGTCCAGGTCTCTCTGCAGAGCCTCCCTACCCTCGAGCAGATCAACACTCCCACCCAACTTGGGGTCATCTGCAAACTGACTGAGGGTGCACTCGATCCCCTCGTCTAGATCATCAGTAAAGATGTTAAACAGGAGTGACCCCAAAACTGAGCCCTGGGGGACACCACTCGTGACCAGCCACCAACTGGATTTAACTCCGTTCACCACAACTCTTTGGGCCTGGCTATCCAGACTGTTTTTTACCCAGCAAAGAGTTTGTTTGTCCAAGCTTCAAGCAGCCAGTTTTGCCAGGAAAATGCTGTGGGAGGCAGTGTCAAAGGTCTTGCTAAAGTCAAGATAGACAACATCCACATCCTTTCCCTCATCCAATAACAGGTCACCCTGTCATAGAAGGAGATCGGGTTTGTTGAGCAGGACCTGCCTTTCACAGACCCATGCTGACTGGGCCTGAGCATCTGCTTGTCCCACATGTGTTGTGTGATGGTACTCAGGATGAGCTGCTCCATCAGCTTCCCAGGCACTGAAGTCAAGTTGACAGGCCTGTCATTTCTCAGATCATCCTTCTGAGCCTTCTTATAGATTGGAGTCACACTGGCCAATTTCCAATCAGTCAGGATCTCCCTGGTCAGCCAGGACTGCTGGTAAATGATGGAAAGTAGCTTGGCGAGCACCCCAGCCAGCTCCTTCAGCACCCTCGGGTGTATCCCATCTGGTCCCATAGACGTGTGTGTCTGTGTGATGCAGCAGGTCACTGACAGTCTCCTGGATTGTGGGCAGGGTCATTCTCCCTGTCTCTGTCTTCTGGCTGACAAGGCTGGATTCCCTCAGTACAACTGGTCTTATTTTTAAAGACTGAGGCAAAGAAGGCATTAAGCACCTCAGCCTTTTCCTCATCACTTGTTACCATGTTTCCTCCTGCATCTAGCAGGAGATGGAGACTCTCTCTCGTCTTTCTTTTGCTACTGACGTACTTATAGAAACATTTCTTGTTGTCCTTGATTGCTAAAGCCAGATTAATTTCTAGCTGGGCTTTAGATGTCCTGATTTCCACCCTGCATAGCCTTACTGCCTCTTTGTAATCATTGTGAATGGCAAGTCCCTTCTTCCAAAGGCCATAAACTCTGAGTTGCAGCCAAAGCTCCTTGTTCAGCCAGGGTGGTCTTCTCTGGCTTTGGCTTCTTGCAGCACCTGGGGACTGCCTGCTCCTGAGCCATTATCACTTCCTTCTTAGAGAGTGCCCAGCCTTTACAGCGGTTGTCCTGTTGTTTCCTCATTTGCCTGTCAGATAGGTCACTGTCCGATACTAAAAGTATCCTGACAAAGACCTTCCTCTTGTACAGAGCTTTTAACCTTGGACTCTTTCTGGTGATCTGCAGGATTTTGTGAACTGACATGCAGAGGTGTATGTCTTCAGAAGATGAGATCTTGCAGTGCTGTGCAGGACATAAAGGTTGAAGTACTGCGTCTTTGAAACACTTGCTAGTTACTAGGGAGGAAAGGAAGAAATTGGGGAACTTCCCATTTTCCTCTACTGGGCTTAAATATGTGTGCTGCTATTCAGAAACATCTGTCAGTAAATAACTCTGTGTGTAGTCAAGCCCATAGTGTTAACCTACAAAACTTTGTTCTGTTTCCTTTGATATTCTCCTAAGCAGAGTTTCTGTGGTGGAATTAGAGTGCTAACGTACTTTTGTGTTCAAATCCGGTACAGCTTCCCTGGTGAATGTTGATAGACAGAAGTTTGCTGTGTGTTCCTTGGACAAAACTTGTTGCTTGTTGCCAGAGCATTTTTCTAGCTTTTGCAAACAGGTAATGTCTGTTCAGCTCTTCCAGGATAGGGTGTGAACTTCAGGGTAAAATTTGTGCAGTAGGTATGCAGTTTTTAGTACTTTTCCTGGCATTAGGGTATGTAAAAGGGAACTATGGCAACTCACGTTTTGATAATGCCCATGGAAATTTCCAGCATCACTTCAGAAAGTCCTTGTCAAGTATCCAGATGTATCTCTACTGCACTTACAGACTCACTGGTGTGTTTCTTGGTAAATATGTCTGATGCCCCTCTGTATCTGGTCACAGATAGGGGCTATTCCTTCTGTCTTGAGATGACCACAGGCGTCATAGAAATACCTAGAAATGCACTTAGTTACCTTTATTTTAACTTTTGCATAGAGAGTAAGATCTTTTGGTAATTCTTTGAACCTGATTCCTCATTTAACAGCTTTTTTGAAGTACAATCACTAGTCTGAAGCAGTAGGTGATATCTGCATGACAATCATGCCTATAGATATCAGAGCATGACTGTAAAATTAAGTGGGAGTAAATGGTGACGTCTCAATCCTTAAGTTAGTGAATTTTCTCACTTTTGGAGGAAAACATCTCAAGTACCAGCTTATTTTCATTGATCATCTGTATGTCTGCTGTGTACATCTAATATGCTTTTAATAGAAGAACATAGTTTAGGATTGACTTCAGCTAGAAAAAAAAAAAAAAAGATCCTAAACATCCCAGTTTACTAAAATACTAAAGATGTGTACACATTTTCAGCAGTGTCTGAAAATGGAATCTCTCAAACTCACTTTGAGATGTAACATGAGTGGTTTGCTCATGAAACATGTAAATGACCATTTTCATTTGCTGGAGCAGAATAATCCCTCTCTTCCAAATTATTCCATGACTAGTACACAATGTATGCAAACATCCTCGATAAAATTTAAATGTTTCAAATTCATTCAAATTCAATGTTTTGTTCATTTCATTTCATTAAATTTGTGAACCTCATTGCTGTTAGATAAGATACTCCTTTCAGTAATTAATTTTCTCAGTTTATGAAATTCCTCTTCTAATATCCTCCTGTTGTATGGCAGTGTGTCTGCTGTCTAGTTGTCTATTCTGTTCTTTAAGCTGTAAATAAGTTGGAAGAGATGAATCTCTTCTAATGTAAAAATGTGTATTGAATCTGACTTGGTGTACAGGTAATACCTGACATTACATATTGGAGATGCAAGAGAATTTTTTAAAAAATAATTTTGTCTTGCTCTTAATTTTTTCAGGTCTCTTTGGAAATGGGAAAGATTTTTGTTGAGGGTGTTGGGGAAGTGCAGGAGTATGTTGATGTCTGTGACTATGCTGTTGGTTTGTCCCGGATGATTGGTGGACCTATTTTGCCTTCAGAAAGTAAGTATGTGTGTATGTATGTTGGTTATTTGGGTTTTTTTGCGTAAATGAAAATAAGGAGATGTATCTTAGATATGTAGTGATTTAGTGCAGCAAAATCTCTGTACTGTGAATTATTTAGGCAGCATGTTGTCTAGGAATAGATGTGCTGGTAGGCAGTAGTGCCAGATAATGAAGTATCTAGCCTGATAGATGTGTGTAACAAGAGAGGCTGTAGATTTTTCTCTCCTCTTTTTGAAGCGTTAGATTCTCTTTGATTTCTTTGTTAATAAAGGTGCTAGAGGAAAGTATGTAAAAAGTTCAGCAATTTAATTAGAAATGAGAAATCTTTTTATCAGTTATTGTTTAGCAAATAATCACCGTTCTGTTAACTGAATAGTTCAGTAAAACTTCATGATGTCATGTTACTAGGTTTTTCCACAATCTAGCTAACCTTGTTCTAGTAAGCTGCAGAGTACATATAATACAGTTTTCCACAAGCTAATTATCTGATAGATGGAGAAGTAATGCTAGGCCCCTTGCTCACATGGTTTCCTTTTTAAAAAACATTGAATGCATGCGAATTGCATTACCTTGTGTCTTTGCTTTCAGGACCTGGCCATGCCCTTATAGAGCAGTGGAATCCCGTTGGGTTAGTAGGTATCATCACAGCCTTTAACTTCCCTGTAGCGGTTTATGGGTGGAACAGTGCAGTTGCAATGATCTGTGGAAACGCTTGCCTCTGGTAAGATACACCACTCCAATTTGCTAGCAGTATATTAAAATCAGAGAGCTGTTATCTCAGTCATGAAATTGCTATCAGATGTTTGGAGTTTCTATATATTTGATTCCATCTTTTAGGCTTAATTTCTGTTTATTTTCAGGTTCACGTGTAGCCAAATAACTTTGTTTTATTTTGTGGTAATGTCTTTTATGAGGTATTAAGATTCACGCTTGTCCAGGACTTAGCCAGGTGGTGTGTTAATAAAGAACCCAGTTTGAGGTCTTGCAACAGTCGTAGTGGACAGTTAATATTTCAAATTGGTACAGCTATAATTAAGTCTAAATAAGTAACTTCACTTCCTCTCCCAGCTCCTGCTTCGCTTTCATCTTCCTGCTTCATTCTATATCTGGCGTAGGTCTTGTTCGAGTAGATTTCATCAGGGCCTCTGAACGTTCAGCTGTGGAAAGAAATGCTTGAGTTCCTGTCTTAACATGCACCTGAAAACCAGCCTGATCAAAGTGTGCTGTATTTCAGATACCATAAAAAGTGCCTATTTGAATTATTTCTTATTTTCAAAGAATTGAAAATGTCTTTTTTTTTCTTAATTTATTTTTAGGAAGGGTGCTCCTACGACATCCCTCATTAGTGTTGCTGTTACAAAGTGAGTTCTGGTTTCTTTGCTTTCTGTTTTGCTTTGTAAACAGCTTATTTTGTGTTTGAAGGTAGTGCTCAGTGATCAGAACTGCTTTCTTCTTGTTACCTAAGAAGTTACAGTGTATATATATGATGTTGCCTATACAGTTGGACATTTTTTTTTCTGGGACAAGGGCTGTGCTTCTGCTGAATTAAGGCAAGCTGTGTGGTTTGCTTCCTTGTAGAAGATGAATTGCTCACAATATTAAGCTTCCCTCAATCATGCACTCATGTTTCAGAATCATCTCTTTTAGGAGTCTCAGTCCAACACCAGCACCAAGTTTCTTAGCAAATTCTTCTGGCTGGCTGTGTAGACCTATATCCTGAAGATACCTTCACACAATCTTTGTTGTCCAAACCTACTAATACCTTAGCTTTCAAGGGTTCAAAACTCATTATTGATAAAAAGGAAAAGAAGCCCAAAGAATAAACATCATGGTGATACTTACTCTAGTGTTGTTATTATTTTACTTATTATATTAGCATTTTAAATACTTGTGTGTTGTGTGCTACAAATAACATTTATTTTAAAATGCTAAATATACACAGGCCTTTAAAAATAACTAATTATTAACTCTTGTAGCTTTAATATTAATTTCTGAGAGCCCCAAACTACTTAAGACTATTTTATGTAGCTCCATGAAGTTACATAAATGTCTCTTCCTAATGGTGAAAGACTGTATGCCCCAGGTTTTTACACACTAATCCAATGCTTGTCTGTGCCAATTGCGTGGATGCATGTAGGGTCTTCTGTATGAGCTATGATTGTAACACCAAAGTCCTTAATGAGAGAAGTGTGTTTTGTATTGTGCAAACTACTTGCCAATTAACTGCAAGACTGCTGCTTTTTAAAAATCTATCTTCTTCATGTGTATGATCAGATGGTTTTAATGGTTCCTACCCTGTTATATGTACCTGTCAGAAATCTCTGAAATTCTTACTACTTTGATTCTAGGATAATTGCCAAAGTCTTGGAGGATAACAGAGTGCCTGGAGCTGTCTGTTCTTTGGTTTGTGGTGGAGCAGATGTTGGGTTGGTAACATTTCTTGTGTTTTGTGAAGATGTATAGAGGGTTAACTATATTATTTGAGGTATACTTGTAAAGTTATTCTGATCTCCAGGAGTTTGCAGTACGTAAACGTACCTGTTGCCATCATTTTTATCAACTATCTGTAACTTTGACCTGGGTGAAAGCATAATAAGTATTTCTACTTGCTGTTGTGAGATCAACTGCTAGAAAATAACTTAGCAGATATTTAATGAAGAGATATGACTAATATGTTCTACTTCTGCATATGCTTACAGGCAAAGAATACAGCTAATACTAAATTCCACTCACCATGTTCTTAAGAGTTTTTCCATTTCTAGTCCATTGGCCTTTTGGACCACTCATGAGGAGAATACTTGCCCATTTTCCATGCTCACATAGGACTCTGCACTTGCTCATAAATGCATACCTGTGCTTGGAAGCTGTACCCATCAAATTGTTTTTATTGATTTTTACAATGTGGAAATTGCCAGTACAAATGTATATTCAGATGTATCTTTTGAGCGTTTCAAGAGAAGACAAAATAGATGGTAGGCATTAAAAAAGTCACAGGCATGTATACTTTTTTAGAGAACGTAACAACTGGAGCTGATCTCACTACGTACTTCAGATTGAATTTCAGAATTAGTACATGTGATGCTCTTATGAGCTGAAAAGTGGGAGGGAAACAGCCTTGTTCCTCTTTTCTGACTAAGAAGATAGCTTTCCTGCCATCTGCTCAGTCACTTACCTGATGTTTTCAGAGAAGTGGCTCTTAACTTTAAAAGATCTCCCTGGTTGAAGTTGGTTTATGTGGAAGGTACAAGCAGCTTTTCCAACTGCTTTTCTATTGAACATGGTGGTGTGTCTTCCATTGTGCAGGACAGCAATGGCAAGAGATGAGAGAATGGACTTGTTGTCCTTCACTGGCAGCACAAAAGTGGGCAAGCAAGTAGCGCTTATGGTTCAGGAGAGATTTGGTGAGTGTTTGGGGTCTCCTCCATTTCAGGATTTTAAAATAACAGCTTGTTTAACTTACCTTGTCACCTGTTTTTTGTTTTTTTTTTTTCCTTAACTTAGTGTACATAGGGTGTTGAAACTGCTCAGAGCTAGATACTGTATTTTTCAGTTAATTCTGTTACAGCTCAGCATTTTTTCCAGGGCACATCCACAAATCCATGGTCCTACAGTTAATTTAGGGGGGTGTCCTTGAATATAATTGCATGGAGTTTGTTAAGATGAACAGCCAGGACCTATGGTTTTTTGGCAATGCATTCATGAAGAAATGTCTCCTCGCCTTTTACTCTTTATAGATAACAGGAGAAAAGTTACGATTTTTGAGGAGCTGGTTTTGTTGCATATATTTAAAAGTGTGCAGGCATGAGTCCATGTACAGCTGCTGGATTCTAACTTTTTAGTTTTAAACAGAAAACCTTGTGAACAGGATTTTCTCATACATTTCAAGTTCACAGGAATGTCAAAAAAAAAAATCAGAACAGTGCAAACATTCACCCAGAAGTAGATGATGATTGATTCTCTCAGATTGGAGTTAAAATAGTTGCCAGAGAAATAAAACTGACACATAGAAATTAACTGGGCTTGATCCCTGTAGTACCTCCTCCTCTTTGTCTACATTATAGTGTTCATGCTGCAACTTTTTCTGTTTTCATCTTTTCCAGTCCTATTTTTGCCTATTTTTTTCTAAGCTGCTTTCTGCCATAACTGCTCTCCAGGTATCTTTCTTCACAATATGTGATAGGTGTAGTATTCGGTGTAATTTTCTGCTTTAGCTACAGCAATTAGTTGACTGTGATGCCTAAAACTTTTTGTATATCCAGAAGAATATGTTTAATGAAACTTAGATCTCGTTGGAGGTAACCTCACTGAATGGGTTGCAGTGAATAGAGGTGCGCATGACATAACTTGTTTTGTGTGTTTTTATTAGGTCGAAGTCTACTGGAACTGGGAGGAAACAATGCCATTATTGGTAATATGCACTGTAGAAATTTAGTCCCATAGATGATATTTGGTAGTTAGCATACAAATGTTTGTAGCAAATTGTTCTTCCCACCCCCCTGAGGGTTTAAAAAGTATGTAGTAGAATATTGAGTTTTCCTATCTTCAGTATTGTGGAGGGCTAGTGTTTTAAGATAAAAAATGAAAGTTCAAGCCCTTATGTGTATTCACTGTTGAAGTTAAGGGAATGTAAGCCTCAGTAATGGGATGTGGACAATGCTGAATTGATTTTAGAATAGTTTTAATCTTGTGCACACCATGATTTTACCATTGTAGAATTTAAGTACATATATGCAAAGTTATGATACTTGAAAGCAAAGCATGGAGGTATTTATTTCATTAGCACATTTTACAGGTTTAAGTAACTCAGGGTATGATCTAGTTCCCAGATAAATATAACATAAATACTGTGAAGCTGAGCAATGTAGCAGAAAGCTAGATAAATGCCTGAATAGCTGTCCTGTTGTGTTGTAGCCTTCTGTTTCTCCTTTCTTATATTCTGAACAAATATAATTGCCTATTTAGAATATCAAGTTCTTTTGAAAATCACATTTGAGTAGCGTGCTTTTTTTTTTAATCCTGTGCTGCTTTGCAGCCAGTAGCATAAACCTGCTTTATACTTAAAAAATTGTTTCCTTTTCGTATGGAAGTCGTGTGTTTTCTGGAATTGGCTTTGAATGATGGCATAAACATTGTTTGGTTGGACTTTGTCCCACATTTAATAATAATTTTGGATACTTAAGAGAATTCTGTGAGACTGGTTAAGCTGAGTGATATTTTGGGGATCCCTTGAAGCTTATACATGCTAGCTTTGCTTTAAACATCCCAATATCTTCTAACCAGATGAATTTGTTCAGTTAATTTATATTTTACATTATTGTATAACTCTGTGGTTTAGCTCCTTTTGCATGCAGTCTGGATACACTTTACCATTGTTTCTTCATGCTGCTAGACTTCTCAGTGAGAGAAGAACAAGGTGAAGAAATGGCAAGAAATTACTTGTAAATTCTTTAGTTAAAATGAAGCTGAAGTTCTTCAGAAGCTTAAAATGAAGCTGAAGTTCTTCAGAAGCTTTATTGCAAGAGCCTGAGGCTCTCCAGTAGTTCAGACCTACATTTATGTCCAATTGCATGTGTCTAATTACAGGTGTAAAAGTAATAGGAGTTTTGAGGTGTTTCTATATACCTTAGTATGCTGTGCTAGGGCAACTGTTCATAATGCATCTTGGTCAACCTGTCAGTTTATTATATTGTTTAGTGTGTTAAGTCTTGCAAACTGCCTGTTTACTTCAGTAATGCTGGTGTTTTAATAATTATTAAGTGTTTGAAGATGCAGATCTGAATTTAGTCATCCCATCTGCTCTATTTGCCGCTGTGGGAACAGCAGGTCAGAGGTGCACAACTGCTAGAAGGCTGGTAAGTAAACGTGTATTGTCTGATTTGGGTAGCTCTGAATTTAAACTTAATTCAAAGTAGCTCAGAAAATGTATAGTAATTCCTAGTATTATGGAGAGCATGAGATAATCTTTGAAACACATTTTTACTTTGTTAAAAATCAGTATGATAGGAAAATAATGATGGTTTGTCATTCCACTATAATTCTAGCTCTAAAGAACTTCTTTATATGTGTTTTTAAATGTATCTGGTGCTAAAACTCAGGAAAATAAAACTTCACCGTATTTCCTATATTTCTCTGTTTTCATTGTCAGAGCTTCTTTGCTTCTGCCTGCTACAAATTCTGGTGCATTGTTTAGATTTCAGCAAAGCAAGGGGTGTGTGTATATGTTGCTTGCTTCAATTTTTAACCAATTGTTTTCAACAAGTTTAAAGGTTTTATAATGTCAACCTGTGTCTGTTGTAGTCTTTTCAGAGTTGTGTTGATTTGGTAAATTCTCATCAGAATTGATGTGGGTTAACTTTGGGTGTATAGGAAGGACAGTGATTCGTCAAATTGTAGCAATCAAAATTACTTAAGTATTTGTCCTAAAACACTTAAGTGAAGAGTTTATAGAATACAGTGATAGCATTGATCTGAAGATGGGGTAAAATTAAAACAGGTTTTTGTTTCTTTGTTCCTTTTAAATCTTCATGGTGAAGATTTTAAATCTTCATTTCATGATGTTGGTGCTGTTTCAAGGCCTTGCTCATGTGTTCATTTTTAATTTTGGCATTTGCTGAATATGAGCAACAGGCTCCACACTCCGTTCATCCCTCTTCAAAGTGCAGTAGTTCTTTAGGAGTAGTTACATAGGCTGAGCTGTCTCACAACCTTCTTACCATGTTTTGTTTAGTTCCTCCATGAAAGCATCCATGATGAGGTGGTGGCAAAGCTTTCTAAGGCCTATGCCCAGGTCCGCATCGGTGATCCATGGGATTGTAAGTATCTATTTCCAACTCGGGGATTTAGGAGACAAGTTTCTGTTTGTTTCTTTCTGTGTAAATTCCAAAGAGATTATAAATCAAAGCTATCTAATTTAAGCAGTTTACCAGGGAGTGGGAATAGCTAGTTTCATTTAGAATGCAAACTCTGAAAGGGAGATGAAGAATCCAGCTAATGCTGCTTATCTTGGACATACTAAATAATTACTCCTAAAATGTCATGATAAGAACATCTGCAAACATAGACAGTTTTGCTGAAAGTATGTTTTTGAATCTTTTGTTTTTAGCTGACACTCTGTATGGGCCTCTTCATACCAAAGAAGCAGTGAAAATGTTCCTTGATGCAGTAGAACAAGCAAAACAACAGGGTGGCTCTGTGGTCTATGGTGGAAAGGTGACTTACTTTCATTCTCCCTGCTACATTTAGTTCTCTAGGAAAAATTTCAACAACATGGTGTCTTAAGCCAAGATTGAACCTCAGTTTGTCCTGTGAGCCATTACAAGATGTTACGTTAGTCAGTCTGAGAATGTTTGAATTGCAATCCTGTACAGGGTAAAGACAGGTCTACTTGGAAACTACATTCTCAAAGAAACATCTTGAGAGTTTTTTGACTGTTCCTTGTACTACTCCCTAATTGCACATGATCATGAAAATACAAACAGCAATGTAAATCCTGAATATCAAACACGTAACAAAGAAAAATTGCTGTTTTGTCCTGGATTCACAGTATCAAACTTGAGGAGATACTGAAGATTCGAGATCCACCTGCACATCTTCATTTTATGAGATGTTTAATTCTCAGGGACTTGATGTTCTGATAATTCTCATCTTTCACTGGCACCTTCTTTATTCTAATACCATATAAGTTACCTACTCAGATGATCTGACCTTCCATTTCTGAGTGCTGTAGTCACAACTATAGTAATCAGACCATGAAGGATTCCCTTCCTACACTACTACTAAGCAGGATCTGGTTTGAACTTACTCAGTTGTTTCTTCTTTTTTGTGTTTTGAAGGTTATAAGTCGTCCTGGAAACTATGTTGAACCAACCATTGTGACTGGCCTTCCTCATAATGCCCCGATTGTCCACACTGAGACATTTGCCCCCATACTGTATGTGCTGAAATTTAAGGTAAAATAACAATGGGAGATTAGTCAGGTGTCCTGGATGCTAAAACAGGAGTCAGGAGAGAGATTTCAGATGTATGTCATGTTCATGTAATTGTCCTGGCACTTCCAGAAGTGGTAACTGTTGTTTTGCACTGTGGGATATCCACTGTAATAGCTTACCTTACTGTGTAGCTACATTTATTCATTTTCTGTGGAGAGCACTGTAGTTGAGAGTCTGTACAGGAATAGATTTTTACTGTTCATGTCAACATGCTCAAAACAGGTTGTGTGTTTTGTGCAGTGGTAAGAGATATCCCTGACTTTTCGTGCATGTGTATTTGCCAAATGGCATTCAGTATATTTGCGTTTTGGCTGTGGTATGTTGTTTTTTTCTCACAGTGCTCCTTTGTAACTGCTTTGATTTGAATGATCATGGTTTAAGCACTGACGTATGCTCCTTTTAGGAGGAAGAAGAAGTTTTTGCCTGGAATAATGAAGTAAAACAAGGTCTTTCCAGCAGTATCTTTACTAAGGATTTGGGAAGGATTTTCCGCTGGCTTGGGTATAATTTAAATTATTTTTCTACCTTCCTGAAGCAAGTAGAATGTCTTCTTACATGTCTTTTGTAAACCTATGCACAGTGCTAGTTGAGCATTTTATAGCCCTTACTTTAGGGAAGGAACCCTTCCTGATCCTGAGGAACAATAGTGTCTTATCTTTGTAGGCCAAAGGGATCTGACTGTGGCATTGTGAATGTCAACATCCCAACCAGTGGAGCTGAGATTGGAGGTGCTTTTGGTATGTTACTTATGCTTTTTTCTTTATCCTTTAAATGATGAAATCCTCTAGCATCAGGTTTAATGACTTGGTATTATTTCTCAGGCTTAATTTTTTTAAAGCTGGGCGGACTTTAATGACCCTGGAAGAGAATAAAGCATTACCACTGTGAAACTAGTATGATTTAGGTCTCGTCTTATTTTTTGATATTTTAATCAGTCCATTTAAATTAATAAATCTGAAGAAATCGGTGAAGTTAATTTTGAATTATACTGCTTTAGCAGAAGACAGAAATTGACCAGAGGTAGTTGGATTTCAGCTTTTAAAAATATCAGTATTTGGTTTTTAAATATTCCATGTATCATTTTTCCCCCTTCCATCAAGGGAATGTAACTCAGAAGTGTGTTCTGAATGTGTTTAGAGATGTGGCTGAGTGGAAAACTATTTAAACCAGTTTTAACTAAAAACTGTCTTGAGCAATTCCAAGCACAAATACAGGCTGGGCAATCAGTGGATTGAGAGGACTCGTGCAGAGAAGGATTTCAGGGGTATTAGTGGATGGAAAATTGACTATGAGCCAGCAATGTGCACTTACAGCCCAGAAAGCCAACTCTACCCTGGGCATCAGCAAGAGAAGTGTGGCCAGCGGGTCGAGAGAGGTGATTCTCACCCTCTACTCCACTCTTGTGACACCCCATCTGGAGTACTGTATCCAACTCTGAGCCCCCAGCATAAGAAGGACATAGACCTGCTTGAGTAGGTCCAGAGGAGGGCCGTGAAGATGATCAGGGGGCTGGAGCACCTCCCTTACGAGGACAGGCTGAAAGAGCTGGGGTTATTCAGCCTGGAGAAGAGAAGGCTCCAGGAAGACCTTCTAGTGGCCTTACAGTACTTAAAGGGGGCTACAGGAAAGATGCAGAAGGACTCTCTATCAGGGAGGGTAGTGATAGGTCAAGGGGTGTAATGGCTTTAAACTGAAAGAGGGTAGATCTAGATTGGATATAAGGAAGAAGCTCTTTACTGTGAGGGCGGTGACGCACTGGAACGGGTTGCCCAGAGAAGCTGTGGATGTCTCATGCTTGGAAGTGTTGAAGGCCAGGTTGGACGGGGCTTTGAGTAACCTGATCTAATGGAAGATGACCCAGACCATGGCAGGGGATTTGGAACTAGATGATATTTCAAGTACTTTCCAACCCAAACCATTCTATGATTTTTGTTGTTTGCATGTGTATATAACAATTACAGCATAAAATATCTTTGTGAGAAAGTCTTTAAATACATTTTTGCTTTTATTTCTTTTTTGTATATAGTGAAGGAGGTGGGGGGAGGGAAGAAGAAAGATTCACCTTACTATTAAACAGTACAAGAACCAGCACATTCTTGTACTCTCATCTCATGTTAAAATATCTTTAAAACAAGGTCCTCTGGTGCCAGCATGATAAAACTTTCAACTCCAGGCAGATACTTTTTGGATCAAGCATGAGGAGAGAGCTAGCTGCGTGAGTTGTATGTGGTGGTGTTCTGATAATTTATTTCAGGTATGGAAAAAAGGCAAAGGAGTAGTTTTTCCTATTAATTTTTATAAAATGTCTCACTTCCTGGAGTTAGTCTAGATTCCCATTCTCAAAAAAAATTTTGAATTCTCAGTTAGGAATTTTTTACTACAGGTGGTGAAAAGCACACTGGTGGGGGAAGAGAATCTGGAAGTGATTCATGGAAACTTTATATGAGACGGTCTACTTGGTAAGACAGACTTTTTAAATTCCAAGTAAATGTAAATTACAGATAGGCTCACAAAAGTTCAAAACATAAATCCTTGACTACAGGAGGTTATCTACATGAGGTTATCTATGCTAAATGTGAGATAGCCATGTATAAGTGTAACTGCCTTTTTATGCAATAATTTACATCTATGTTCCTAGTAGAAGGTGATTTGAAGGGTCTAGATAAAGATCTTTCTTTATTCACTTCCTCAAAAGAAAAAAAAAAACAGTTTTTTCTTTTGCCTGATTTTAAACTCTGTTAAAAATTAAATTACTGAAATTTGACAGGGAATACATGAAGTGACAACCACAGTAAGGGGACCGCTGTTGCCACTGGTGGGTGATTTAGCTGTGTATTTGGTATCTATCCATAAATCTTCTGGGAGCCTGTGGGTGACCATTCCCACTCTCTGATGGCCTCCCTAGCCTTTACCTGTGCTAACTTTGGTTTCAATGTAGAGGCTTATGAATGTGAGAAATTGTGCCTTGATTTTTCCTGTGTGAACGTTCTCCTATTAAAAGAATAAATGGAGAAAGATACTTTACTTTCTCTTTGATCTATCAAGAAAGATATAATGGGGAATGTGGTCTTTCCCTATATATAGTTGCTATATTGAAAATCAGAGTAAAGTCAGTTTATAACTTGAAATACACGAACTGCTTACAGAAGTCTTTTATATACATGTGATAGAAATCAGAAGCCTTGTGTTTAGAAAGTGGACTGTATAATCTGTCTCAGTGATAAAGTCTGGTCTCTAAATACTGGTTTCTCTTCCAGTACAATCAACTACAGCAAGAATTTACCTTTGGCTCAAGGAATCAAGTTTCAGTAACAGCCTTATGAATGACCATGCTATGAACTCTCCTAGCATTTCAGAACCAGCACCTTCTAAGCCTCATGGTGAAGAAAGTTAATTACCTGAAATTTACCTGCAGCAGATACTAATTCTGTCAAAAAATCAGCTTCTCTAAAATTGCTTCACTTTCAATGTATGAAATTACTACTTCAGTCTTCAAATGAGAAGTATGTGGTCTTCGGGAAGAAGGGAAGGTGACTGAAACTAACAAACTTGGATTTGAGTAGTGTGGATAATCTGTTGCCTTATCACTGTATTTCAGTATCAACATTATCTGTATCCTCTGCTTCCCCACCATTCACTGATATTTTCAGATGGTAGGGCTATGCTTCAAACTATGTGGTGAGTTTCCTTACATAACTGGTGCTGAGGGGATGAGCAGTACGGGGCTATTTTTCAGTGCATAAATAAAGGTACATTTTGTGAGATACCTTGGGCTTCTCAGGTTTTTTTATTTATTTGGTTTTTTTTTTGAGCAGGAATGTTCAGCTGACTGTCTATTTTCACACACTGAGCTGCAAGCTGGGAGAAGTATCACTGTGCTAAAAGGACTGTTTTAGTTTTCATGTCTCCTTCAGAAAGGAGACTTTCGCCCTGTGCCTTGGGAGATAAAGGGTAAGACCAGGGTCTACTGCAGTGTTTTGAAACCTCCTCTTAACACTAGAAGGAGCCACAGCCAGTTCATGTTGTCGCTGCTCTTGTGACATCCTACAAGCAAACCAGATGAAGAACTGGAGATGCAGCTAGGAGGGATTATTCTTCCGGAGGGAATTTGCGGGGGAAAGGCAGATCTTTTATGTGTGTTTCACCTTAGGTGGGGGGTTTCTCCTGGCCACTGAAGACTACAGCCATCAGCAGCTCATTTAGGATCCTTGCTCAGAATCCAGGATGAGAAGGGGCATGGTGCTACAACAGCGATTTTAGCTTTCCGCAGAGTAACTTCTGAAGTTTTTAATGTACCATTTTTGGAGGACTTTCCCTCTCAATCTTATGTACCAAATTTCACCAGTCTCTAAACATGGCAGAGCTGTTCATTTTGGCTGAGATTCTAGGACTCTAGTTTGGCTTTTGAGTTATTTTGATGCTAAGATGTTGTAAGAGCAACACATCCAATGTGTTAAAGGTCCAATATATGACAATGCTAGCTGGTTGTCTTTCACCTTAATATCTAGTTTTAAAATATGCAGTGTTTTGAATTTTACATCTGTATTACAGAAGGTATTTTGGGTGTCACTCTAGAAAAAACATTAAGCAGCCAGTTTTTTCCTACTGACTCTTACAGCAAGGTGAACTCTCTCCAGTAGTTCTTTGTGCTTGGCTGTTTAACAAGGAAACAGATTTAATGAAGAAATGTTGTGTAATTGCACACAGAAATAACTAAAGTCCCCTAAACAGACAGATAAATCATTTGCAGATAGAAGGCAAAGAAACAATTCAATTTCCAAATTTAATTACTCTGAAAATAGCACGTTACAGAAGCTGTATCCTTTAACACTTCAGCAGCATTGAATGTTACTATGAAGAACTCAACAATGAAGAATAAGTTGAACTCTCTTTCCTCTTCTTGCTGCTTATTAATAGTTTTTGGATAGCCTCACTTGCCTCTGTTCTTGAAACTGAAGGCCTTTTTACTCTTTTTTTGGACAGGATAAAATAATTTCACAAGTTCAATGGTTTAATTTACAGGAATAAGGTGTTAACTGCCATCTGGCTTTAGATAATGCGAACTCAAATTGGATGGTGCGTCTGATTGACTAATCTTCAGATCAGTATCTGAAAATGAGTATGAAGGGAAAGAATGTAGGAGTGTAATCAATAGTGACTGTATAGTGGACACACTAAACATTTTTAAAGGTTAACTTGATGTTTTGATATATAACAATCCCTTCAACACAAACTTTTGAGTAGTTAATTAGAGGACTCAGTCTGGAATACTTGTGTAACTACCTCTGTATGAGTAACTCCATTAGATCCACTTTACGTAGGCAAATATTGGACTCTCTGTAAGTAGATTACAAATTCATCCTGATTTCAGCTGAGTATATGAATTACTATTTTCAAAGATTGTGTTATCTGCATTGTCATTGGACTGCTAGTATGGCATTACAGCAGGCAGTCATAATGCTTTGTCTGCTTCCCAGATAGCTTTGAATTCCTTAGATGATTTTTGCAATTTGCTTCTCTCCACCTTTTTGTTTATTTAGTTACCTGTTGAAGAATCCTATGTGAATTGACTAGCTGAATGACTTTCAGTGGAGTGGCTCTTGGGAAAGTGCCTTTAAAAACAGCTGCCAACTGTAATAAGTTTTGGCAAGGGTTTAGGTGCCTATAAGCAGTTACGATTATGAAGCAGTATTAAACAAGGGACGTTTTAAAGGTACTGTAAACACTCTGTTTGTCAAGTTCTCTTTAATTTGGAAAGTCCACTCAGGAAATAGTGAACTGCATTAGCTGTCATTGAGTTATCTCACCCAAGGAAAGCGGTTTTAGAGTTCATAAAATGTGTCTTGGACCTACTGGTATGTGCAGCATAATGAAACTTGAGTTTTAACACAGATTTTATCAGCAGCTTCCACAGTTGCATATACTTAATTACCACTGAGTGTGTAACACCAGTGAATAACAAGTGTTAAATGACACGTGGTTAATAATTCATTTGTTAGCATGGTATTGCTTACTGTGAAATGATCTTGGTGGGAACAGTCTTGCAAGTAACTTCCTTTCTTTTTGTCATATTATTAACTGAAGTGCAAATGCTACTAATGAAATTTTTAATGATAAATAGAGCAATTGCTTTTTAAATGAATGGTGAAAAATCAAATCTGCAGGCTGCTACTCTTCCATTCTATTTCATCCTATCGCAATTCCTAATAGAACAGTTAGCAGGGGAACTGTTTTCAGAGGAAATGGCAGGGGAACCAGGAATACTACTTGTCAATAGTAGGTCTTAACTTGGGTTTTTGCAAATAGCTGCCCTGCAGCTGAATTTAGAACAACTGGGAAAGTGTTCACTGTTATCTTTCAGTACTAACAGACCAACCCATTCATATTAAATTATATCATGTTTTATCATGCATTAAAGACTCATTAGCTTGCACAAATCCGTTCAAGTCTCTGCATTAATCTCAACAAGAGCTCTGTAAAAAAATGAAGTTAATTTACAGAAGACCTCTTTGCCTGGATTGTCTTCTGAATTCTTTGTGCTGCACCAGTATGCTGGGCATGTATTGCACAAGTGTATACTTATTTTCCAATGTGGAAAATGATAAAAAGTTTTAAGGCTTATATATGGGTAAAAATGACTTAATCACATAAAATTATTGAGTAAAAACAATGAATTATCAAGAACTTTTTTAATGTCTTCTGTTTGCTGTTCTGAAATGTATATTCCTTGATCAGCAAAACATGCTGTCATTTGCTACATGTCTAGTGTTTGAAAACTAATGGATTAACTGCATTCAGTTGTTTTCAGTGGCAGCAGAGGTTTGAAGCTTTTCTTGCAGTGAAAAGTGTCTTGCCTAAACTTTCATTTTGAACATGGTTGCTTGCAGGTACTTGGTACAAAGGTACATACTTGTTCATAATCTTTATTATTGGCATTGATTCTTCATACAGCTCATTGCTTTTCTCCAGATAATAGGGAAACGCTTCTGCAGTTTGGGACAGGGACTTCCACCATACAGTGTAGCAGAGCCTTTTTTTTAATCACTGTGGTCCTCCCGGTGTCGCTGGTGCTTAGGCTAAAGCCTGCCAAAGGGTGGCACAGTGGCAGTCCCTCCTGTGCAGAGTAGCCTTTGTGTTTGCTAGCCAGCTGTGTGAAACAAACCTCTTCATCAGAATGTCTTTTACACTCCAGAACATCTGGGAACACTACTTCTGAGGTGGTAGTTAAATACTTCATTCTGCAAAGGCCTCTGTTGATTATTGCGGTTGTTATATAAAACATTAACTCCAAAAGCCAAAGGATAATGAGTTTCAATAAGGCCAAATGTCGGGGCTACCCTTGTGCCACAACAACCCTCAGCAGCTCTACAGGCTTCGGGAGGATTGGCTGGAGAGCTGCCAGTCAGAGAGGGACCAGGGGGTGCTGATTGACAGCCGGCTGAACAGGAGCCAGCAGTGTGCCCAGGGGGCCAAGAAGGCCAATGGCATCCTGGCTTGTGTCAGCAATAGCGTGGCCAGCAGGGACAGGGAAGGGATCTGACCCCTGTACTTGGCACTGCTGAGGCCGCACCTCGATGCCTGTGTTCAGTTTTGGGCCCCTCACTCAAAAAAGGACAATTGAATGACTCGAGCGTGTCCAGAGAAGGGCAACGAAGCTGGTGCAGGGTCTGGAGCACAGGTCGTACGGGGAGCGGCTGAGGGAACTGGGGGTGTTTAGTCTGGAGAAGAGGAGGCTGAGGGGAGACCTCATCGCCCTCTACAGCTCCCTGAAAGGAGGGTGCAGAGAGCTGGGGATGAGTCTCTTTAACCAAGTAACAAGTGACAGGACAAGAGGGAATGGCCTCAAACTGCACCAGGGAAGGTTTAGACTGGATATTAGGCAGCATTTCTTTGCAGAAGGGGTTGTTGGGCATTGGAATGGGCTGCCCAGGGAGGCAGTGGTGGAGTCCCCATCCCTGGAGGTGTTTAAGAGTCAGGTTGACATAGCACTGAGGGATATGGTATAGTTGGGAACTGTCAGGTTAATGGTTGGACTTGATGATCTTCAAGGTCCTTTCCAACATAGATGATTCTGTGATTCTGTAATAGCATACTCGTCTCCAGGGAAGAACAAATTATTTAATACATAGTTTAATATGTTACTGTTTTCTAGCATTATGCCTCTGTTTTCCGGCAACCTGATTTCAAGGTGGGGTTAAAGGAAGGAAACAGTGCAAACTAGCTCTCCCAACTTCAGAGGAAGGCACATTGTTTCATTACTCTAAAGCCTAGAAAGCTGGAAGTTGGTAGTTATGTTTCCTGCTTCCCTGGCACTATCCCAACAGGTGTCACAAACCTCCTTAGATGTGGTAGTGAAGAGAGCATCACCCACTCATTTACTCAGGGGAGTGTTACAGAGGTAGCAAAATGAGAGCATGCAAGCTTAAAAATGAGAGACAGGAATAACAGAGGATAAACACCATATTTATTGCCTCTAAGGCATTCATTTAATCTGCAGATTATTACTGAGCACTTACTGTGTCCTGTCTTTTGTGGATTTTAAGAGGCTACACACTCATTGGCCTGTGATTCAGACTGACATATAATGATATAAACCTCTCAGTCTGATGTGGTAGCTGCATTTGAAAAGTATCTTAAGAAGTGCGGCACATATGTCTTCTTTGAGTTGTGTTTCTTCTGACTACATTTTTTTACTAAATTGCTTGTATTTTTAAAAACCAGATTTATCACTAAAAGTATGAAGGATACTTATATAACCCCAGAATATCAACCTCTATCTAGATAATATGTGACTGTATTCAGTTATGACTGTGCTCACAATTTAGTGTTTGAGAAATGAAGCAGATCTGTTTGCCCCATATAGATAAAGACATTCCTCTTCCTCTCAGTTTGAGCCAAACAGCACTTGGTTTATGGCCTTGATTTAAGGCAGAACAAATAGCAGAGTAAGTTTATGGCGATGTTTCACCATAACGATGCAAATCAAACGTATCTAAGCTTTGCTACGGTATTGTCTTTGAGAAAAAAAAAAAAAAAAAGGCGAATCTTAGCTGAAGGAGAAAGTATGTAGAATCATGGAATGACAGCAGAGGGGACGGAAACTTATGGCAATAAGAAAAAAATCAGGAATGGAGCACAAGGTAGGAAATCTAAAAATGGTGAGTCAAGCACTGCTATTCCAAAGCAGGCTTAACCAAAGCAGGCTGCTGTAACCTTGTCTTGCTTGCTATTTTCCTTTCCATATTTTTCATTATCTGTGTTACTGATTATTTTTTTTTTCCCCCTGGCAATTTAATGCTGAAGTGGCACCCTGCAAAATCTGACAAGCACCATAGCTGTGCAGGGGAACCTGTAGGAATGCAGAAACTGGTCACTGGTTGTGGAAAAAGGAAGGGCCTTGAAAGTGAGGAAGAGGAATTCAGAACCACCATGTCCTGGTTCAGCTAGGATAGGGTTAAGTTTCCCCAGGACGGGGAAGGGATCTCCAGCTGGGTCATTCATACCATGCTGACATGTCAGGTCCAGTGGAGCAGGGAGGGAAGCTTTCCTTTGTGGCTTTGGTCGGGGGAAAGCAGGCACAGGCTGGCTGTGTTCACTGTGGTATTTCTCTGTATATCTTTTGTATATTGTTATTACTTTTTGTTGTTGTTTTTATTGCTGTTGTTGTTGTTCAGATAGTTTATTACACTGTTGTATTAAATTTCTTCTTATTTTAACCCGGGGTTTGTGCCCTACTTGTGTCCGAGAATTGAGGAGGGACAACAGCAACGTGGTCTCCGGTCCTGGCAGGGCCTAAACCACCACACACCAGCAAAGGAGGTGGTGAAGCCGGGGTGAAAGACACCGACATCACTGCAGAGCAGAGAGGCTTTTAGATGCTGGATTTTACATTGGGAATACTGGGGAAGGTAAGGTCGGGCTATTGCAAATGGGAGGTGAAGTAGAGTGCACAAAATAGAACAGATTGAAAGAGTTTTTGAATATTGTATAAAGGAACAATTTTAAGAGAGTTACTGAATGAGGAGAACAGGGAAAGAAGCCAGATGTAGTTGAAGCTAACACATAAGGCCACAATTAGGGCAGGTAAAGTAGAGGCAGACATATTCACTAGGGAACAATATCATCCTAAACCTCCAAAGCTGTTAAGAGTTCATTGATTGGAGCATCAATCTGGCAGTAGGACAAGCTGTCAAAACTATCCATTGTGGTTAAGGAAAAAAGCATCAACAGCACAAAGGGAAGCATCTGCCTTGTTTTGATGTTTGTGTTCCTATTTATGTTTACTGTAAAGATTGTCCCAATGTCATTCAGCATATTCTGTGAGGAAAAAAAAAAAAAAAAAAAATTAAAAATTAAAACACCCCCCCCCAATCTCTTTGGTCATTTTTTTCTTTTTAATTTGCCATGATGTATTAGTCCATGCATTTCAAATCTCTGTATTTGTTAGATTTATGTCAGCCAACATTTGTTGAAGTATTCTAGCTTGCATGCTTGCATGCCAATCTTATCATTTACTCTTATGGCTGTTCATCATCTTTTTTTCTGAACAATAAATAATAAAATTTCACATTAAGACTAACCCTTACTGTTACTTAGCCTGTGTTATTGCATGCTGCTGTGTTGTTGCTACAGGAAATAGTAAATATGAAGTGTACTTTGCACAACTATTTATGAGTTCTTCAAATCAAAAATTTTCTAATTACTCTTAGGCATTCCTTAGAGTATTAGCTTGTTTCTTTGGGGCTTTTCTGAAACTGGGTTAACACATTGGTATTTCAGTCTGCTGGATTTGCAAAGAGTAAGGGTTTGCTTGGTTTACAATGGCCCTCAGCTAATTAGAACACATTTGAATTCTATTTAAGCTGCTAAGAAAACCTGTTTTGCAATGTGGGTTAAAATACCAGGAAATCATGGTCTTTCATTATTTCCCCACCAGAGATCAGAATTACTTCTGTTATAGAATTACAGTAGATATGACCTAAGTCGAAACAATTCCTTTTTCCCCAAAGTACTTATAGACCAATATATATTTTCTGTAGCATCTCCATAACTTTACATTTGTTTTAAGGGTTTATCTAGTTTGTCAATCTGTAGCTTCTCATTCCTCAGCACTGAGGTGAGATGAGTGAACCATATGGTTTAGGAAATCAACAGAGTAGAAAATACTTGTGCTCTTCTTATTATTCTGGTTTAGCACTGCTTCTGTTTGAACTCTGTAATTCTGTATAATTACTCTAGAATGATATTTGCTGGGAGTGAAGAATCTGGATTTTTATGTGTCTCTACCAGGCCACTTAATTAAGACTCAGGGTATTACATGAATATTAGATGAATACAGTGAGTATACAGCCAAAACACAAACCACGTTCTCCTTGATCTCTGTTGTGAACCTTTGTTGTTCATCTTTCATATCCTCCACAGCTCTTCCCCAGAAGAGAGGGTGTGAGAAGCTGTATTTTTCTGCAATACACTGTTGTGCTGCTCTGCTTGTCCAAGAGATGATAAAAGCTGTCTGCCCTTCCTTGCAGCCTGAGCTGCCCTGCTGCGATAACCTGCACCCACCACAGCAGCAGTCAGAGCTGGGGAGTGAGCACTCCAGCATGGCCTCCTCCTGTGTCCTCCAAACATCAGCAGTCAGTTAGTTGCTGGGGGTCAGAGGTACCAAAGGCCTCACTACGTGAAGCACAAGCATGCTGGCCTGACTGTATAATTTCCAAGGGTAAGAGCAATGCATGCTCACAGTGGTCCATGAGCATCTCAGACTGGGAGAGGTCTGTTCCTGTCTATGAGATTTCCAGAGACATTATTATTGCTCTACAGTTGCCTAGTGCAATGACTACAAGGTGAAAGCACAGAGATTTCAATATGAAGACACCTTCCTTCACACAGTTGTGGCCAGAGCACTACAAAGCAAGACTTTGGCTTGTGCACTGAATTGGAGGATGAACAGAATCTTGGTTGAACTGCTGCCGCATCCTGCTGGTTCCCACATAGGGCCTGTGTTGCCATCTGGAACACTGTTGTTTTCTCTGTGACCTGCCATACTGTCTGGCGGAGGATCAGTCACTGTCCCACACCCTTTGGTTGCCTGGTTCAGTGGGTTTTCTCTGAGCCAGGCCAGGGAATCTCACAAAATTTCATTGTAACTGTTTTCTTTTATGACCAGGGGTACGTGCGTGTATATGATGGTCCTATCCAAGCTCACTCTTAAATATAGGTAAGTGCTGCCAAAAGGGAATTAGACGTACAAAGCAGCATCTTTGACATCGACCCACAGTAGATAAATGTGTTTTTACCCTGGACACTCACCATTTCCATCTCCTCCTTCCTCTGACAAACAGTTACTTGGATGCCTTGATCTATTTCACAGAGCTGATGCAGCAGAGGTCATGCAGTGTGCCTTTGCACTCTGGACTTTGCACAAAATAACTCCAGCTGATTTTCCTGGAAGCACATTAGGGATACTGATGGCACTGCACCACAGGTGTACTGGTGGGGATGGGAAGCAGCAGCATGTGACCAAGAAGCAGAGTGATGGTAGAGTGGCAGTACTACTGGTCTTTAATGAAAGCACTTGCTGGCGAGTTGGACAACTGTCACCGTCTGCCTCATTTAAATGATTACTAGTAGAGAAGATGGAAATGTGCATGTGTGTGAAGTGACTCAGGAACTTCACTGTATGAGTAAACCCTTAAGGATAAGGCAACACTGATTTCTTTATAGTAATTTTTAATCTCAGGAAAGACACCATCTCCTCAACTTTGTGAGTGGCGCAATAAATAATAATAATGTAGCTTTACATGTGTTTTGTGAGGGATTGCTCACTCTAAGTGCTAGAGAGGTGGCAGAAAGACAGGTAGTGTACATTATTCAAGAAAGTCCTGCACTCCTGTGGCCTAGCTCATAACGCATGCTATTGCCAATAAAATCCCATGTGAGCAGCTTATTCATCAACCATCCCTAGGAGAGAAACAGGCCAGTTGTGTGTGACTTAGAGGACTAAGAAGCACCACTGAGCCTACAACAGAGGTATGAATGGATATTGTCTTTTCTTTGGTTCATTAGCACTTCCTGAACTGTGCCCTCACTAGGCCAGCTAGATTTTGGTAGTAAAATTTTATACTTCTTTTTCCTCAAGAAACTTATATTGAAAGTAGCACCTTGGTAGCAACTTGCACAGTGCTGCTTCTCAGGTGTTGTCATTTGCACTGCTGCCAAAAGGATGTCAGTGCCCAGAGCAAGGAGTCACTGTTTGCTCAGACACTCACTCACCTGTGCTGGTGAGTTTTGGCTGGGGTAGAGTTATTTTTCTTCATGGTAGATAGTATGGGGCTATGCTTTGCATTTGTGTTGAAAACATTCCTGTAAACAGGGATGTTTTAGTTCTTGCTGAGCAGTGCTTACACAGAGCCAAGGCCTTTTCTGCTTCTCACACCACCCCACCAGTGAGTAGGCTGGGGGTGCACAAGAAGGTGGGAGGAGACACAGCCAGGACAGCTGACACCAGCTGACCAAGGGGTTCTCCCCCATCATATGACATCATACTCAACATATAAACCTGGGAGAGAAAGAAGGAAGGGGGGGGATGTTTGCAGTGATGGCATTTGATTTCCCAAGTAACCATTACATGTGATGGAGCTCTGCTTTGATTGAACACCTGCCTGCCGATGTGTGATGAGTGAATTCCCTGTTTTGCTTGCTTGCATGCACAGCTTTTGCTTTACCTCTCAAATGGTCTTTATCTCAACCCATTTTCACTTCTACTCTTTTGATTCTTTTCTCCATCCCACCATGGAGGGAGTGAGCAGGCAGCTGCATGGGACTTACTTGCTGGCTGAGGTTAAACCATGACACCACTGCTGCAATTCACACTTAAATTGCATTGTCATATGAGTTATACAATTGTATGTGATGCAAAGCAGTTGGAAAATGCCCTGGAATTCCAAATAAAGACCATCACAATACAGAGACTTTTATCCTTTGGACGATTACTTGATCATAAAATGTTTAGATAATCTAGGCTGCTAGTATTTACTTTTTGATGGAGCAGATTTTCTACCTACTGTCTTAATAAGATAGCCAAAATTTGTTCTAGACTGATGACAGATGCAAGGATAAATATGTTTGAGGAAACTTCAAGACTTCATTTCAGCACATAAGAGATCTATGCTTCATTTGCTCAAATTGCACATCCTCATTACTCTGCAATGATGGCAAACTTTTTCAGCACTATTCATCTCTATATGATTGATAAGAATGGTGCAGTCTTCTGTCATGAGTCTGTGGTTCTTATCCTGTGTGCAAGTTTATTTGCTTATGAAATTTTTGTGTCAAGTTCAATGTAGAGAGGAATAGTTCTCTCCTCTCAGGGCTTCCACAGTCCCTGATGAGACCAGTGTGGGATGACCATCCACTAGAAGCACATATCCATATCCTGGAGATTTAAAATTTTTTGCAGTGAAGGTAAATTACAGAAGGACTTTGCCCGGGAGTGATGGGAACAGAACCGTTCTGCTGCACAGAGCACTTTCCCAGGCAGAGTCAGGAAAGGGCAGTGGGGGAAATCTTCCATGCTTTCAAAGTCCAGACTCTCATGAACCCTTCTAAGATATCCCAGGACACCACACAATAACAGTTTACTGGCTAAAGCAGCACAGCTATTACACACTCACTCATCCATTCTTGGGTTGTATTGTGACAAGTTTTTACTTGTTGGAAAAACTATCAGAGAAAAAGAAAAAAAAAAAAGTATGTTCAATGATTTATACATTAATATCTCTGTTTTTAAAATGCAATTTGAATACATCTGGTTTTGCAGTACATTCTTGCATATTGTGAAAGAAAGAATGGATCAATTCAGATCAGAATAAATACCCACACTGTGGAAACCAAACTGGTTTAAAGATCTGTCAGTCTGACAACTGAAAAAAAAAAAAAAAAAAAGGTAGGTTTCAGAATGAGAGAAAAAAAGCTTTTGAAAATAACCCTGTATTGTACACTGTACAGTTGTTACTGTATATCTCCAACACAAAAAGAACCACATTTTTTCACCAAATGCAGAAACATTTATAGTATTAACTTAAAGAGCTTATTATAAACATTAAACCAGACCCAGAATTAGATGGCTCTGCTTCTTACAGCAGACCAGAGCTGATTTATGGAGGAAAAAAAAAAAAAAGTGTGTGGAAAAATAAAGCTGGTAAGCAAAGAAGGTAAGAGATGACAAAGATGATTTCTGGTTTTGGTGTTGGTCCCTGGCAACTAAATTGCACTATACAAAACAAGGAGGAAAAAAAAATCCAATGAAGTGTGTCAGCATATA